AAAATGAACACGATTAACAAATCTAATTTGTACTGCTTCATAATAAATTCAAGTTTACACTACTACAACTTTACACTAATAGTGAAAAGTTAAATCTGGGGTTTATAGGAAGGACTCTAAAAAAGGTACTACAATAGTATCCCTGGTTAACTGTCTATAGCATGTTAGTTAAAATTGTCAATACTACCAATCAGTAGTAATTTATCTTTAACTCTTGGTTCATCTATGCTAATAAGTTTATAAATAGAGAAGGAAGAAAACACTGGAGGTAATCTGGCACTGCCCCATGTATCTCCTGACTTCGTATCTTGGTGTGCTCTGGCTGGATACACACAATTAGGGGTACAATCACTTTTTCTAACATTCTTTGGCAACAATTTTCCTCGGCTGCCAGAAGGACATCATTTAGATCTGGTGAGGAAGGATTCTTTCTCTTCCACTTAGCTATCTTCCACTTAACAAATTGGAAAACATTTGGATAACACTGATTTTTGTGAGTGAATAAGTCAGGATTTAACATAAATTAATGAGTATAAAGACTTTCCTCTCATTAAGGAACATTTCCATCTGTCCTAGTCATAATTCAAGGTGTAATGCCTAATGCTTCTTTTTTTTAATAGATTTTATTTATTTATTTGAGAGAGAGAGAGTGAGAGACAGAGAGAACGAGAGGGAAGAGGGTCAGAGGGAGAAGGAGACTCCCCGCTGAGCAGGGAGCCCGATGTGGGACTCGATCCCGGGACTCCAGGATCCTGACCTGAGCTGAAGGCAGTCGCTTAACCAACTGAGCCACCCAGGCGTCCAATGCCTAATGCTTCTTATTTAGTGTTAATACCAAATATGTACTTAAATTTACATCAAACAGAATTGCCTCTTTAGTCCAAACAAGAGTATATTGATGGCTACTATAGCAACTGACTTGAATATCTAGTGCACATTTCCTACGTGTTAGTCATCAGGTAAGTACTTTACAGTTATAAAATTTAATCCCCACTACCACCCTATGAGGTAGATATTATCCTAATTTTATAGATTGAGAGCATGAGGCTACAAAAGGTAAGTAATTTGTCCAATATTCCGTCTAGAAAGCTGATTCCAGAGCCCATGGGATAGATGATTTGCTGCGGGGTAGAATTCATGTAAAGACTAAAAAGAGAGATGAATTTGGATAGAAAATAAGAGATTCTTAAAGACTGTCACCCTCCTCTTTCTCTTATTTCCTCCAATCCACAATTCTCCTTGAAATGAAACATTCAGGAGCCAATCACAACAGAATAAGAATCTGTGGAGGGAGAGATTCAATGTGGTCAATGCAATGAAATTTAAATGGGTTATAAATGAACTGGACCAAGGCCAGCAAGTTTCATTTTTGGTTTTATAGGTCCAACAAGTTTTATTCATCAAAATACTCATTTGACCCAATGCTAAATGTTTTGAAAATAATACCCAAAAGACAAAGACTCCAAGCATTCAACTTAATTACCTTAGCATTCGGAGCTAACAGGCAGAATCCTATGTAAAATAGTATTCACTTAGGTGTAAAAACCTGTAGGCAAAACTAACAATAAGATTATCTGCAGGTAGGTGTTAATGAGGCCACTCAGACAGATGAGGTGTCAACAAGGTCTAGTTATTGGGGAGTGAACTTGGGTTACTATTGTGTGGTAGGGAAGCAAATTCAGGCTCTCGACAGTCAGCCATTCATAAAGCTGTTTGATATATCAGGAGGGGAAAAAAGGCATCTATCTTATTACCAATGTTTGAAAGAAAAGTAAAATAAGTGAAGATTTTTCCAGATTAGAGTTAAATATATACCATTTGAAAAAAAAAACTGAGTGTGAAAAGGAAGTATTGAAGAGTAATCTCTCACAAAGAAGCTCTCTTACACTCATACTCTTTCCTTTAAAGTCAGAACTTAATGCTTTTCCCTATAAAATTCAAAGTTACAATAAGGATTTTATGTCATTATTCTTAGAATGTTAAACATACAACCTATGGAGATCAAACATTTCTTTTTAAACACAACAGGTAGATAGAACTTAAGATTATAATTTTCAGGTAAGGATGATATAAGTGAGTACAATTACTCCCCGGTATTGCAATAAATTAGTAGAGGCACAATAAATATAATCTATAAGTGGATATATAAAAGTATCACTAAGGTTCAACAATGTGCAAATAAAGAAGCACAATACTCAGATGACAGCTACTCAGATGACAGCTAACGTCTGATGGCTACTTGCATACTAAAACACCAGAAAATGCTTCTCTGAAATATATTTTTATCACTTCTTTTGTTGGGAACTGGATGGAAGAAATGCCTGGGAGAGGATGGTGGGGATGGGGAGCTTCTGACATCAGTTTAGTATCAAATAGGTAATATTACTTATTTCTTTAAGGTAATTTGAGCTTTAACCTACCTTTGGTAATTGCAAGTAGTTTTCTCTGAAATTTATGGTACTTTATTTCCAGCTTTTTAATAAACTTGGAGGATTTATATTTCTGAAGTTAAGGGGGAGGAAGTAAAAAGTATTTTCATCTGCCAATTTGGAACATTTGCTTGAAAATTTTGGCTTTTTATTTGTGAAGGTGGATCAACCATGGAAGTAATATGTGTGATATTAAATTAATCCACTGACAGGGATATATGAATTTTTAGAATTATTACAGTGATTCACAATTTATTACACATTTCAGTTAAATAGATTATAAAGGAATGTGGCTGGCTTTAGAGACCTGTATGCATACTTTCTACACCCTTCTTCCTTTCAGCCTACCAGTTATCTTATGGTACTCCAGAATTTAGTTAAGTATCACCCCAGAGTATTGGTACTTATGAAATTTACTAAATACTAAAAAGAGATCTATGTCCATTGCACAGACATTGTCAACTGTGAATAACAGATATCATTTGCTTTAGTTTGCAACTTGATTTTAAATCCCACTATGTAGCCATTTTAGCTTGCAGAAAGGTTATAGCTAATATAGTCAATAAAAGAAAAACACCTACTTAATATTTAGTGTTTCCCTAGTGTCGTGAAGTCAGGAGGCATCATTTGCAGAGTCACTCAGTGACTGATTTGAAGTATTAAGTTTGGTGCACCATGTGGATGGCAAATACCTGGTCTATGCACTTCCATACTCCCTCTGCCTATCAGCCACAGCAGACCTCACTAATTTATCTTGGTAGTCTTTCTGTCTTAGATACTAACCACAGTCTTGACACATAGAACAACTTTACACTCCTATTCAACAGAGCCCTCAAGGCAACCACGAACAATCTGGCATATCCTTGGAAAGACCAATACACTGATGATCACAGACTTGGGTTATAAATTCAGCCTTGCTATTGAGGAATTAAATGGCCTCTGGTAAGTCATTTAATTTCTCTGTGGTTTGTTTTCATTCTGAAAATATGTCAGTGAAAATATAAAGATCTGATGCTATAGATTTATTCTTATGTCAGTAGAATAGAAAATGATTTTTTTTTAACTTGTAGAAGTAGTTTTAGATAAAGAACAAACATTACTAATAGTTCAGTCAGCTCACTCTTCAATCTAATGAAAACAATTTTTCCATTGGGATTATTTTAGGAAAAAGTGTTACCAATTAGAAATACTGTCTTTTCCATTTTTAATGCACTATTTTCTTAAAGTATATTTTTGGATGAATTTTTATTAATAAGTATACAGTTATTTTTGAAGTTCATCTTAAATTTATCTTCCTTCAAAACATAGAGAGAATAGTTAGATTAGTTTAGTCTTTCACAGAAATTTACATCATTTCAGCAAAACTTACCACTGCTTTTTAATTTTTGGCATTTTTTCCAGATATTATTATTTCCAAGAAAGTTCAGGAAGGGCAAACACTGTAGGATTAAAATGAATGAAACCCAAACTAGGTAACTTCGGATCATTGAGACACCTGTTTTAATGTACAAAATTCATTACCAATTCTCTGCATTCACTATTTCCATAAAATAGTTTATGTTATGTTGTTTCCACTGTTTTTGTTTTGCATCAAACATTTTTTAAAATGCTTTATGTTTGTATATTTTCCACAAAGAATAGCATTCCATATTAATTTCACACTATTTTTATCAAGAAAAGTCTTTTTTTTAAACTAAGGTATAAAATTAGAAATTTCTTCTTTATTCAGGAAGACACTATTTATTTATAAAAGTCTTAACTGTGATGTGTTCTATCAATTATAAATCAGGAAATATTATGTATAGGATCTTAAAAGTAAATTTTGGGTGAGCCAATTTAGGAATACTCTAGTCCAGAAACTAAGTACCTCAATTCTTAAGGAAATAAGCAAAAATTCTATATATGAAAATATATGACTCACATATTTAGAGATTCCTTAAGAATACAGGTAGTATCCACGCTAAATGGAAACATGAATTTGCTCTATTTAAAAATTCTTGAATGGCCACTTCAGGATTGTTATTCATTTCCAAGGCTAACTGGTATGTGAATTGGGTCATGAAAGCAATTTTCATTGAATATTAGAGTCTAAAGACACAAATTATACTCTAGTGACAGAATATGTTTAAAAAAAAGGCCTTGGCATATTTATATGGTAACTGGCAGACATGGAACAGCAACTTTCCCCTAAAATATGTAAATATGTATTATATCTATTCATAATCTCTATTTTTGCAAGTCAACACTATCTCATCAAATGATTCCTAAAAGTTCAAGAAAGGTGTAGTGGTGAGTCAACCATATACCTTTACATATTTCAGGTAAATTTTAATGCCATCAACTCACAGAAACAGTGAAGTATATAGATGATGAAATATAATTGAAGAGAGAATACAAGAAGTAACAGAAAACCAACTAATTACACTGGTATCTTAACATTAATCATCTCTGATTAATCATCATCAATGAAAGGGAGTGGCTAATAGAAAATCACAGATAATCTACTTTGTGGTATTGAGTCTATGGCTTTGTGCTTAGCAGCTGAATTTCTCATTGCCCAGTGTAACTTACTGCAAATGTGTTGTGAGGATGCCCATCACCAGAAGAGTGGCCACAGACACATAATTTTATTTCTGGAAGCAATTCCTAGATTAAACAAAGAGAATCAGGAGTTGGCTCTCCCTGCCCCAATCTTAAGGCTTATGCTAATAATGTACATTATCATTTAAAAATATTTTTGGATTATTATCTTGGTGGGTGAACGTAGATGAGACTATTCCATCTTTGTGTCACAGTTAATAACAGTATAGAATTAAAAAATAAAAATAACTTGGCAAATGCAAAGTTGAATATTTGAACATAACGAATTAACCACTAACCAAAAAATTTCATGGTCTACCATGACCTTGACTCAGGAATCTCACTTCCCATTTCCCACTGCCCCTAAAATTATGGCCAATGTTAGAGAATACTCCTAAAATTTAAATGGGACTGTGATTTTAGAGTATGGGATGGTATTTGCCCTTAAAACTTTAATTATCTCTTTTTGAAAAAGCTAACTATTGACTTGTACTCAACTATAACCAATACAAATGGAACATAAATCCTGGCTTGTCATGAAATGTGAGAATAATCACAAGAATCTCTTTAAACTGCCTTAGCCATGCATTATTATAACACAAGTATTGCCATTAAATATATATTTGAGACTATGGAGCCAAACTCTACAGTCTGTTAAAACCTGTTGATTTGTGCCACTTGTATTGAGAACTACTTTATATACTCAAATGTATAGTTTGCATTTTTATCTGTAAAAGTAAAGTGATTATTTATTGATAAATGACATGGAATGTCATTTTTTACCTAAGTAGCATCAGACATTTCAAAGATTTTGTCTGAAGGGCAAAAGGATTACACTGCATTTGAATAGACCATGTGACAACACATCCTCAGACTTCATGTAGGATATGAAAGGATGATCCCCATTCATAAGATACACCAGGGAAATTATATCAGAAAAGAAGAAAAGCAAGGAGGGATGTGGTAGGGGTGTCAGGGAGTATTTGTAGTGGTTTGATGCATGTAAATATTACATCTTATAAATAATTCTTTTCAAATACATATCTGAAGTTCAGGGTCTCTGTTTAAGAAACGACTGTATATGCTTTACATGGCTATATGCCATTTTCTGGAAGATAAGAGCAACATTAATTCAAACAGGAAAAATGCCTTCCAAAATAGTCCTTTCCTTTCGTTTCCTATGAAGAAGTACGTTACCTGATGCTGGCAGATGAAGACTACAGGGTGTGTGCGTGGGGGGGAAATGTTCAAGTTATATTTTACTGTCAGAATCCAACAAACACGTTTTCATATAAATTATTTTGTCAACAGCCTTGTAGTACCCTTGCTAACCTTATTTGGCACCAGTGCATAATTAGATACACAGGGGTGTGACTCCAATTGAAGGTGTTGGCATTGTAGCACTCTGTGAAAATATTAACTATGAGGTTAACTCCAATTTTCTCTTCTTTAATTAAATGCACATGGTACTAATGAGGTAACCTACTGTTCCTTGATAGCACTAATTAGCTAAGAGGAGAGTACACTCTCACACTGCAATTTAAACCTAAAAATAAGGTTGAAATATGCTAATTGCAGGCAATTTAAAACAGTACAAGTTGAAGAACTAGTCATAATAAGAGAAACTGACTGCTTTACAGCTAGGCAGCTGTAACTTTGGTTAAAATCAAAACAAGCCACATGATTTTTGGACTGCTATTTAACAAGGTCATAAGCATCCTAAAAAAATGAAGTGCTACTCTAAACCATAGCAATGAACCAGACTCACAAAAAATCCTCAGATCAACATCTGCATAAGACCAAAAATAAGTGAGCAGCACCAGAACTCCAAAGGTGCTATGACACTATTTACATTTAATACTAAAAACTAAACTCCATAAATAAGCAACATCACCTTAAACTCTTTCAAGAGCACCCAAATTAAATAAAATACTGTACTTTGTGTCTCCAATATACTACCAAACATACTGGAGTGATGAAGATTTGCCATCTCAATCACAGGGTCAGAAGGGAGGATCCAGAGGGGAGTAAGTCTCAGCACTTGAGGAATATACAAACAGGAAATTGCCAGATAATGTACAAGTACAGCGATACAAATACAAAAGAGATGCTATGGAATAAAATGGTGTAGGGACTATTTAAGGATATCAGAAGCATTTCATTATAAGAAGGAGATTTTGACTACATTTCTCTATAGATTAGAGCTCTGCGATGAAAGCAGCCTGGAGCTTCATGTTGAGAGCGAATGTTCTCCATTCTCAGCTCAAATGACTTAGAACTATGATTTCAATGAATTTAAGTATAATCCAACTGTATTTTCCTTAATTGCTTTTCAAACATTTTCCAAATATGATTTTAATTGATAAACAATGAGATAAACTTTAATATGAAGCAAGATTCTGAAAGACCCTCAGAATCACTAAAATATAAGTTCTCATTGTGCAAAGTATATTTTCATTATTTTGTATTTTTTTAAGATTTATTTATTTATTTGAGAGAGAGAGAGAGAGAGAAAGAGGGAGAGGAGGGGTAGAGGGACAGAAGAAGAGGGAGGAGAGAATCTTAAGTAGACTCTCTGTTGAGTGCAGAGCCTGATGCAGGGCTTGCTCTCAGGACCCTGAGATCATGACCTGAGCCAAAATCAAGAGTCTGATGCTCAACCGAATGAGCCACCCAGGTGCCCCAATTTTCATTATTTTTTTGATTCCATAGGATCATAATGTCATATTTTTATTAACCAGAAACTGACTAATCAAAACACTCGCTGACTGACAATGCCAAATCATTCTTATTAACACAGACAGAAATAAAGCACATTAAATTAGTTTATCCTTAGGGACAAGAGAGATATGGACTGCCCCACACTGAGGACTCACAGTGACATTTTTTTGCCCCTGTCACTTTGCATGCAAAATCATAGAATATATATAGTTTAAAGAATCAAAAGAAAGCAATTGAGTAAGCAATAAAAATAGAGTTAAAAAGTAAAATTTGTGAAAATGGAAAGCTAACTTAATTTTAAAGTTTACTGGGTGCCTGGATGGCTCAGTCGGTTAAGGGACCAACTCTTGATTTTCGCCCAGGTCATGATCTTGGGGTCATGGGATAGAGCCCTGAGTTGGGCTCCATGCTGAGCATGGAGTCTGCTTAGGATTCTCTCCCTCTCCTTCTGCCACCTCCACCCCCTGCACTATATGTCTCTCTCTCTCTAAAAAAAACCCAAAAAACAAAACCCTTAAAGTTTACTGAAGAACAATAACAGAAGAAAGCGAATCATTTGAAAAACAAAAGCTTTTAACTACCAACTTATTAATAACTTCTGGAGCTAAAAGTATGTGAGAATCAATTTTGCACTACCCTTAGCCCATCACCATGTCTTGCCAAAAGACTTGGTTGAAGAAACCCACCTTTGAAAAACCCACCCAGCTTCTTCTCCTGGCTGTCCTAGAGCTTTCTACAACAGAAAGTGATAGAATATTGGCAAGAAAGCCTAAAAAACCTCTGATCAACCATGCTTTAATAGATTCATGAAGTTGCAAGTCTGTAAAGAAATAGCAAGGCGAATGAAATCAGACAATCATTTAGAAATGGGTCTCCTAGAGGCAACCTGACATATTCTAGCAAATCGCAGGGAAATACAATGTGAATGGATGTTTTAAGTGTTTGCATCTGTTTCAAATAAGCACCAAAGAACCTTTTAACAGTGAAAAGGCCAGGACAGTGTACAGGAATGAGCTTTTAATATTAACTTCAGAAGGAATCCATTCTTTAGTTAAATATGGATCACTGTAATTTCTGTTAAAACAATAAAAAGTAAGTCATTTAGTGTTGAAAATAAAAATACTAGCTCTGGAGACAGTCTGATGGGGTTCAGATCCTGACTCAACACTTATTAGTGGTGTGACCTTGAGCAAGTTATTTAGCCCCTCTTGGCCCTTCTCTCTAGACAGGGGATGATAAGTAACACCATCATAAGATTAAATACATTAATTTGTATCTAGAACAGCGCTGGTACTCATATACTTTGTTTATTAACTGTGTACTTAATATTTATTAACTCTCATTACTGCTTCAAAACAATATTCAATTTTTTTCAAATAAAAATATTATGAAAGTCCTACTATGTATGCATTATTACACACTGTAAAGTATGCACAAATTCTCCAGACATTATGTCTGCATACAAATAGCTTTCAGTCTCTCATTAGACTTCATGATACAAATCAAAGCCTCTTTCACATGAACAAAAAATATTTTAACTACGGACGTAAAATATCTGCACTCTGAAACCTACATATAACAGTGATAAAAGAAATTGAGCATGACACAAATAAATGGAAAGATATACCATGCTCATGGATTGGAAGAACTGTTAAAATGATATTACCCAAAGTAATCTACAGATTCAATGCAATCCCTATCAAAATACCAAGAGCAGTTTTTACAGAAAACAAATCATCCTCAAATGTATAGGGTACCACAAAAGATCTTGAATAGCCAAAGCAAACTTGAAAAGGAAGGACAAGATGGAGGTATCACAATCCCAGATTTCAAGCCATTCTACAAAGCTACAGTAATCAAAACAGGATGGTATTGGCACAAAAACAGACACAGATCAATAGAATGGAACAGAGAGGCGAGAAACAAACCCGCACTTATATGGTCAATTAAACTGTGACAAAAGAGGCAAGAATAAAAAATGGGAAAAAGAGAGTCTCTTCAACAAATGGTACTGGGAAAACTAGAAAGCTATATACAAAAAAAAAGAATAAAAGAAAAGAAACTGGACTTTCTTACACCTATAAAAAATATAAACTCAAAGTGGATTAAAGACCTAAACAGAATACCTGAAACCATATAACTCCTAAAAGAAAACACAGGCAGTAAACAGTTGGACATCAGTCTTAGCAATACTTTTTTTTGGATCTGTCTCCTCCAGCAAGGGCAACAGCAAAAATAAACTATTGGGACTACATTAAGCTAAAAGCTTTTGTACAGTCAAGAAAACAATGAGCCAAAAAGGCAACCTACTGAATGACAGAGGATATTTGCAAACGATACATTCA